AAAAAATTTAAGTGCACGTACAGTGCTCATTTTTCCATCTTTAGGAAGCCTGAATTCCTGAGCAAATTTTCTTCACATCAAGAGTACTCTAACATTTTTCTTCCAAGTGAATTGTTTTCAATGTGAATTTAGTCCATCAGCTTAAAGATAACAAATGCATTAATCTTTTCTTTTATCATGAACTATTTTGACCAGTTTCATATTACACAGAGTAAAAGAGAATGGAAAATATCTTGGGAATCCATTAGAGAATCATGAAATAAATATAAGTAAAACTCAGTTTGTTTTTGGTATTTTTATCATCTTAATATGCAAAATAATACTTCAACTTTGTATTGAGCAAATTTTATATTTAATTCTGCTATTCCTTCTGACCCTTATATTCAGTACCAAAGTCCTAAAACAAAATTTCACCCCATCTACTACTCCTTCACTTCACTTTTCCCTCTACCATGCTTCCTTCATTTCCCCAAAGTTTCATCCTTCCTGCTTTTAAATTTTATCAAAAATACTAATCTGTTTACGTATTTTTAAAATTTTTACATAACATAAAATTTACTAGCTTAACCATTTTAAAGTGTACAGTTTAGTGGTATTAAATACATGCATCATCACCACTGGCTACGCATCAATCACCACCGGCCATCTCCATCAACTTTCATCTTGCAAAACTGAAACTCTACGTCCTTTGACTAGTAACTCCCCGATCCCCACTCCTCCCAGCCTCTGGCAACCACCATTCCATGTTCTATGAATTTAACTACTCTGCGTACTGTGTGATTTGGAATCAGACAGTATCTGTCCTTTTGTGTCTGGCTTATTTCACTGAGTACAATGTCCTCAGGGTTCGTCCATGTTGCGGCACATGTCAGAATTTCTTTTTCAAGGCTGAATAATATTCCGTGAGACGTATACACCACATTTTGTTTATCCACTTATCCATCAATGGACATTTGGGCTGCTTCCACTTCTTAGCTATTTGGAACAATGCTGCTGAACAATGGGTGTGCAAATGTCTCTTCAAGACCCTGATTCCGATTCTTTGGGGATAAATACCCAGCAGTGGCATGGCTGGGTCATATGGGAATTCTACTTCTAATTTGTGAGGAACCACCAAACTGTTTTCCCAGCAACGCCACCATTTAACACTCCAACCTGCATGGGGACTCCAATGTCTCCACAGCCTCACCAACTCTTACTATATTTTGTGTTGTTTTTTTATCATAGCCATCTTAAGAACTGTGAGTTGGTGTCCAATCGTGGTTATGATTTGCATTTCCCTAATGATTAGCGATGCTGAGCGTATGTCCATGTGCTTACTGGCCATCTCTATATCTTCTTTGGAGAAATGTTTATTAAAGTTCTTTGCCCATTTTAAAATCAGGTTGGTTTTTTGGTTTTATTGCTGTTGAGTTACTGGAGTTCTTTATATATTCTGAATAATAACTCCTTGTCACATACATGCAAATATTTTCTCCCAATCTGTGGAATGCCTTTTCACTCTGTTGGCTGTGGACCTTTGATGCACCAGTTCTGTTTTGTTGTGTGTTTTTTTTAAGATTATTTATTTATTTATTTGAGAGAGAGCACAAGCAGGGGGAGCAGCAGACAGAGAGGGAGAAGCAGACTCCCCGCTGAGCGGGGAGCCTGATGCAGGACTCAATCCCAGAACCCTGGGATCATGACCTGAGCCGAAGGCAGAAGCTTAACTGGCTGAGCCACCCAGGCACCCCAATGCACCAGTTTTAAATTCCGATACAGTCTAATTTATGTTTTCTTTTGTTGCCTGGGCTTTTAACATCATGCCCAAGAAACGATCATCAAATTCAATGTCATGAGACTTTTCCCAGGTTTTCTTCTTACATTTAGGTCTTTGATACATTTTGAGTTAATCTTGTATATGGTGTAAGGCAAGAATCCAACCTTTTTCTTTTGCATGTGGATATACAATGTTCCCACTACTATTTATTGAAAAGACTCTCCTCTCCCCCATTGAATTGTCTTGGCATTCCTATCAAAAATCATTTGACCACATATCCAAGGGTCCATTTCTGGGCTCTCAATTCTGTTCCATTGATCTATGCGTCTGTCTTATGCCAGGACCACACCATTGTGACTACTACAGTTTCGTAATAAGTTTTAAAATCAAGAAGTGTAAGCCTTCCAACTCTGTTCTTCTTTTTCAAAACTGTTTTGGCTATTTGGGGTCGCTCCCTTAAGATTCCATATGAACTTTAGGATGGATTTCTCTATCTCTGCAAAAATTTGGTTGGGATTTTGGTAGGGATTGTATTGAATCTGTGCATTGCTTTGGGTAATACTGACATCATAACGACATTAAGTTCTCCAACCTATGAACACAAGAGAACTTTCCATATGTTTGTCTCTTCTTCAATTTCTTTCAGCAACATTGTGTAGTATCTCATGTACAAGTCTTTCTCCTCTATCGTTAAGTTTATTCCTAAGTGTCTTATTTTTTTTGATGCTGTTGTAAAATGGAATTGTTTTTGTGTTGTGTATTTCAAAATTTTACATAAATTGTATCATTAAGTACTTACTATATTTTCACAACTTTCTTTTTTACTATTATAGTACACACATGCGTACTGCAAGTGTAACAATATGTACCAGGAGGACACTTAGCATCTGCAGGCTAGTCACCTCTGGAGAGGAAAAGGGTGGAATGGGATGGAATAAAGAAGGGATTTAGCTGTAACTATGAATTTTTTTTCTTTTTTAATAAGAGACCTGTATAGAACATTTGTACATTTGCTGTACTTTCCTCATTTGAAATATCTTATAATTTAAATTTTTGTAATTAAAATAACTCTGAAAATGTGGGGTATCTGAAGCATTAGTATAGTCCTATAACTTTGCCGGTACTACTTCTGGGATCATTAACCTAGACAGTCATCTCTAGGACAATTAGTTTTTTCTTGATGTGGCAGTGGGTGAAAACCAATAGTCACAGCTCTTCCCCTGAGACCCTAAAAGCAGAGGCTTCACACTATTAAAAACTTCATACCAATGAGCGTTTACTTAGTCTACACTATTCACCTTGCTCTGAAAAAGACTGATGTCAAATGAAGCTCAGTCCAAATATGCTCAGAAAAAAAGTACACACTATCAGGAGTACTTGCTTTTCATTGGGTCTGATACTTCTGATAGCAGCAAAGCCAATAAATGGGGGTAGTAGTTATTGATACTATATATCAAGGTGGATATTTTTCAGGGAAATTTTTAATGGAATAATTTTGATGTGTTTTTTTAAACAGCCCTACTTTTCTCATGAGCTAAAAAGTAAAGCAAGAGGTAATTCTACAGGAAAAAGTCAAAGGCACCACTTGAGCTGATGGTCTTTAGTTTTTCAACATGGAATCTCAAACAAGCACAAAGAAGTAACAGCTCTAAGAAGTAATCTGAGCAGTTTTCTTATTAAGGCAAGGCACTGCTTAGAAAAACACTGTATTGGAGGATCAGATGAACAGTAACACTTCAGGGTGACTCAGTATAGAACTGAAAATTATGCTAAGTCTACATTTTTGTAAAGTTAACCTTCCCCAAGGAAAATGCGATACTATAATATTTATACTCTTCACTTCAATACATATAATTTGCTATTCAACCTGATGTACACTTAAGTTTCCATTTATAAAGCTACTTTTTTAAATGATCATATGGAAAGGAGGAATGTAAAGAATCACATAAGTCAATCACAAAACACACCATAAGACATTTGTTTAACTACACCATAGTTCTCATTTTAAGAGAGTTGACTGAAATACCTTTTAGGAACAAATGCTTTAGCAATTTTGGCATATAGAATGAATCACAAAATTTAAAGACAACCAATGAGACTACCCTTAATTCATGAATTAAGCTCATTTACTTGTGACTGACTACCACATAAGAATGTCAGCTTCTCCAGTGTAACATCCTAGCACTTAACTAGCACACAGTAGGTACGTAATAAGGATATGTTGCAGAAATGAATACTCCTTAACTCTTGACCTGTGGTATTTTCTATCAGGAAACTGCCACCAGAGGGTGCCTGGCTGGCTCAAGTTGGTAGAGCACAGGAGTCTGCACCTGGGGGTGGGGAATTGGAGCCCCACGCTGGGGGTAGAGTTTGTGTAAAAACAAACAAACGAAACTACCACCATATACCTCGGGCTCACCATGTTTTATTTCAGTGAAATTATATTATTTTAATTTTCATACCCTGTTCAAATCTTTTGTTTTTTCCACACAACAAAATGACATTTCATTACAACTTAGCCACAAGAAGAGATATGTAGATTAATAAAATATTCATTGTACTAACTACATAGCAGTTTCTGTGGGTTCATGCTAAAAGCAAAAAAGGACGCAAGCTAACCCTTCATGGTATTTTTTCTGGCAATCTCAAATCATAGTATTTAAACATATCATTCATACCACAGTATAAACACTAAATCTTAATGTAACATTGTTCAGGATAGACCGGAATTAAACTAAAGCAGTTCTATCATGGATACTATCCAAGGGGTTTAAGTTCAAGTTTTAAGTTCCTTTGAAACAAAAGGAATGTCACCACAAGGTAAATTTAGCCTCAAGGATGTCTCACACAACATGAAGTCTCAAGAAAATGTTATATAGGCTTCAGATTACTTGTTTTAAAAGAATGATTGCCTACCACAGCTATCATATGTTTGGAATTATACTTAAAGATGCTCTTCTCTGTGACAAAAACAAAAGTATTACTTCTCAATAACAAAAGGAAAATGAATCAGGTGTCAGGAAGTGGGTTTAGAATGTGCCTAAATCTCAGGATGTATTTCCTAATTAACGTGAGATAATAAAAATTGCCATTTACATTCAGCTTCCTAAAGAAGATGAAACAAATACATAGCTATGCTACAGATTCAAAAGATGACAGTCGCTGAATAGGTTAAAAATTGCTTTAAATATTCACAGATAATTTCAAGATTGCCAAAAAATAATAAAGAAATAAAACTCACAGAGAATGTTGGCCCACTGTTTGATGCTATGACAGTATGAACTTCATCATGCAATTTTATTGACAGCTCCCAGTTAGCCACTTGTGGTTTAATAATAGGCACTCTGAAGTAGAAAAAAAGAAAAAGAGTTAATAATTTTATAGTATTCTCCTAGTAAGCTGATTTTCCTTTGACATTAAGTGTGCAGGGTAAAACTGCCAGAGACTGTGCTTCAGAACGTTATTTTAAAAGGTTCTAGCCTTGGAAAAAAGCTTTCAGATTTAAACTAGAGCAAGTGAAAACTAACAAAAAACACACATTCATTCCGAGGACAACAGCGATCATTCTGGGATAACGGTGGTACCTCCATCTACTCAAAGTACCATCATCTCTTCTACGAATTAGAGTTGCTTAATTGTGACAGTCTTTCAAAGATCAACTTTATACGATATTAATTTCTTTCCAATATTTGGTTACTGTTTCAGACAGTTTTAAAAATTTACAATGTTAGTCTCTTATTCTTCTGGGTTTACTGAGTTATACTCGGTATCCAAAAAAACGGCAGATAATTAACATACAATTTAGTGAGTTTGGACATAGTTATTCACTTGTGTTTCCATCACCATAATTAAAGTAATAAACATATCCATCACCTCCAAAGGTTTCCCTGTATTCTTTCATTTTGTTTTGGTTTTTTGTTTGTTTGGGTAAGAATACAACATCAGTGATGCTAGTCTTAACACACAGGTCTTTTCTTGCCAATGATCCACATTACATGGTCCAGAAAAACTGGGTCAAACAGCCAGAGACAAAAACATTTTTAGAATATAAATATTTCTCACTTTTTAAAGTAACAAAATTTTAACAATTTCTGAATTAACCTAATTTCAATATTGAGTGTTTTCATTATTTATAGTTGTAAAGTAGTATTTACAAAGCACTAAACAGGTAGTATCCAGACTCTGTCTTAAGTCACAGCTCTGAAAAAATGTTGCAGGTTATGCTTTAACATAAACCCCCTCCCCCAAACTTCAAAAGGATTCTCTGTGCATTCTACTAAAAAAATTCAGTCATACAAACTATGATTATAATCAAATCATCCTTAGACACAATGTCTAATGGAGGATGATGGATAATTTAGGCGAACATTTGTATTCAGCCCACTGTTCATTTTCTGAAGATGAAGAAATGTTTTAAATACTACAGAAGTGAAAATTAAAGAAAAGTTTAAAAATGCATCAACCAATCAATATTAATGCACAAGGCAGAGACATGGAGGATTCTCTTCTGGCAATTTAAAGAGGACGCTTTCAGAGGACAGAGCTTCACACAGGAGGGCTTCAAAGGACAACAGGGAGGCGTACAGGAGGCAGAGGAGAGGAGAGAGGAAAGGCGGCGCCGGGCAGAGTGGGTGTCAGCCCCACCTCTACTTTGGCACTCTCTGCCACGGGGCATCTCTTTGTCTGAGTTGTTTCCCCCACTGTCCTGTGAGCTCCTAAAAGACCAAGATCGTGCCTTATTTTTGTATCCCCAGGTCCCAGTGCAGGTTGGGAAGAAAGGGCTGAGGGGGGGCAGTAGGAAGGAATTTGTGCCAAGCACTGCTAAGGGGACACTGTGTTACCCAAGGGACAGAGTGTGCTCCCAAAGGAGCATGGACCCCAAGCTCCTGGCTTACTACCTGGATGTTCTTGGACTATACAGACGACCTCACTAGCCTTCACTCTGTTTACCTTCAAACAGGGTTAACACCTGACCTTTTCAGGGGTATTGTGATAACAGAAATAACCTGACAGCTAATATTACTGGCCACACTGCTTTCTTTCTTAAATCTTTGTTATCAAAATAATTATGTAACTCTCCTGCTCCAGATTGTTCCATGGTTTTCTACTTCACATCAGGTTAAATCTTAACTAACCTACCTACCATTCAAGTTTCCTATAAATAAGGCCCCACTCTTTGTATTTCCAGTTTTATTTGATTATTCTCAGACTTGTATATCCAGTTGTGCCAAACCCTTAAAGTACTTCACAAATCAAACCAAACTAAAACAAGCAGAACTAAGCACAGTGGTCACAAACTCAGGCTCTGGTGACTCGCAGAAGTGGATAAAAAACCCAGTCCTGCCATTAATTAGTTCTGACCTTGAGTCAACTGTTAGGTCTCAGTCTCCTTATGCATCAAACCAGACATATGACAGCATCTGCATCATAGCGATGTGCTGAGGATTAAACAGTGCATATAAATGGTAACTTTTATTACTTTGATTAGTCCCAACCCTAGACCTACACTCATTAACCCCTCCCCTCCATAACTGAAACCCTTTCATGGATTCCTTCTGCTCCGCAAACTAACAGATTTTTCAAGAAGATCATCTCTCTCATAAATGTTCTCTAATTATAGGCACTGATCATAGTACAAACCTCCATCATCTCCCTTCTGCTTAACCTATATTATATGCTTAGTATTTTTCACAACTCAGTAGCCTGGAGGAGGTAACTCTTTCCAGTAAACCTGGTGACGCTTTTTAGTTATGCAACAAGCCTGTTTCCAGAGGAGCTGGGAAGTTAATCCTGACATCCTGTTAGAACCCAGACTGCATTTTCCCACAGAAAGCAATCCTACAGATGGTGGCAAGATAGAGTTGCCACCCTTCAGAACCTACTATTTATTTTTCCATTGTTTTATTTTGATCCACATCTGTTTCATATATGTTATAACCTACCCCAAGAGGGACCTTGTGCAAAGAGCAAAGGCTCTCTTGAGTTGAAATTCTGAGGTTTCATCTCAGCCCATTCTCTTACTACAATGTAGCAGGGACTCCTTTAGTCCTTCGGAACCGTAATTTCTACACCTGTGAAACAGAGCTAGCACAGCGCTGGGCGGAGGTGGGGTGGGGGGGTGGGTAACGGGAAATCTGTCGCTCCTTCAGAGCACACAGCTTCTGGAGTGGCTGTTTTCAAACAATACCTTTTTAGGTAACGTGTTACGAGGATGTGGGAAAGAGGCTTCCCTGTGGAAGCAAGCCCATGAGATATGAGAAAAAATGGTCAATCTCCTTATGAGTTCACTCTTCTACAGACACTTGGTAAGATCCCTTCTGACTTTACCTAAGTTTGAAAGTCATTTTGTTTTGTTTTAAAATAAAATTGGACGGGTTTGGGTACATATGCCCAGTATAAAGATCCATAAGCTCTGCGGCAGAAATAAACTCTAAGTAAAGCTAGTAACACACACCAGCCTGAAAGTCCATGTGCTCTATTTTCTGCAAAACCACTGCAACTAGAGTAATGATAATTACTCTGAAACACTGATATGAATCCCACCAGCACAAACATGCTTATGATGGTACCAGTTACATTTTACAGTGATATTTTATTTTATTATTATTTTTTTTAA